GAATTTTTATGAACTCTTAGAATGTTCTCAAACTTCAACCGAAGAAGATATAAAACGTCAATATAAAAAATTAGCTCTAAAAGTTTGTATACAAATAAGCAATTTTTTTTTTGTTTTTATAAATTTTTCATTTTTTTTTTCTCCCCAGTTACATCCCGATAAAAATGAATTCAAAATGAACACTGATAGATTTAATATGCTTAATAAAGCCTATGAAACGCTCACAAATGATAAAACCCGTCGTGAGTATGATATTCAACTTTTGAGTGAGTATATTTGATGATTCATTTAATAATTTAATCTTTATTTTATTCAATATTTTTCTTTTTTTTTCTTTTTAGTGAAAACATCCAAAGAAAATGATATGATTGTAATGGATACAGTTTCAATGTCAGAATTTGTGCCTCAGGACGATTTCTTATACTATGATTGTCGCTGCGGTGGTCAGTTCATGATGAACGAACAAGAATCGGAAGATTGTTCTAATAATAAAAATGACATTCATATTCAATGTGATTCATGTTCATTGTATTTGCGTGTTACAGCATTACCAAAAACATAATAAAACAATATCAATTTAAATTTTTTTTATTTTAATGTACAAGCAATTTCACTATTGTTAATTATTCATCCATGTAAATAATCAAACTCTGGATAGCATCCGATTCAACGGGAGCATTGGTGAAAAGAGCTCCAACGAATAAGTTAGTTCCCCATTTAGAATGCGAAATAACCTTGCAACATCCAAGATCTTCAATTTCAAAGCCAAACTTTCGATAGCGCTCATCAGTTTCGAAAAAGGTTGCTGGAGTGTAATCTCCCTATAGAGGAAATGAAAAACGAATGTTATAAAAAAAAAGAAACAATCAAAGCATAAAATAAAATAAAATTGACTTACATTGTAAGGACGTCCAGACGAGGGATCAATAAAATCTGCCCAATAACCAAGACTTTTGAGATAATTGCACATTCGTTCTGCAGTGAAAACGAACTTTTCCATGAGAGATTCACGTTCATCAATGACTTTCGATGACCAGGAACTCATATCATTGATCGATTTTTGAGAGATAGTCATCACAGTCATGCCTTGGGAGAGTTCTGGATTGTTTGGGAAGAGTTCTTGAAAGTCTTGCACCATCAATACAGGGCATTCATGGGCGTTGCATTGAAGAATTTGGCGATCATCAGCAAGAAACATGTCAATATTTGGAATAGGTTTTTCAGTCGAAAGCTCTTTTAGCAACTCCTGACTAGTTAATGTCATAGTAGTTGGTTTTTTACAATTTTTCTTTCCTTTTTTCAATTTTAAAT